ATGAATGGACAGTTTAGTGTAGTGTTTTTTAATTTTGTATTAGGATTGTTCAAGGAATTTCACAATCCAAGAAGGGAGAAGTATTACAAGCTATATTCTAATGTTGTTATTTGTTTGTTAGTAGAAGGAACATTATGACATTAAATTAGGCCTAGAAAGTTTTAAAAATTTACATAAAGTTTTTGCTACATGCAAGGGTAGATTATAAATATGAGATCAGCAAAGCACCAGGGAGATAGTTGAGGTATAGTTAAGAATACAGTTAGAGTTGTTTTCCAGCGAGTAGCGAGAATCAGTCTGTTTACGATAATTTTTTTTATGTTAGTGTGTATTCATAAACGTGGTATAAAAGTTACCCTAATGTTCAAGCATGTAAAAAATGTGAAGAGAGAAATAAACTAATTTGCTATCGTTTACATTGACTGAACTTTGTGTTATTTTCATTAGATACTTGAAAGGTTTCACCTAACAAAAGAACAAAGTTATAAAGATACAATTGAAATACCATAAAAACATTGCTTAAGTTTCTGATACAGTTTAATTATCTTTTAGACAGTTAAACATGTTTTTTATTTCGTTATTGATATTATCTATTCATATAGGAAAGTAAATTATCAAACTACAACTATTAACTATCTAATCAAAAATACCTTAGGTGTGAAAAAAGGTGCGGCCAAAAAGGATTCAGTGTGTAACATAAAGAAATGAAATCAACATTGGTAGATAAACTGGTAACTACACTTATAGAATTGATAAGAATTTTACAGCAAATATTCCTTCATTAGCTAGCCAGGTCGCATTTTTGTTCAACTTTGGGCATGATGGTGGGTTAAATAATATTACTACAGCGGAAGTCACGTGACCCTAGTAACACGTCATGAGATTCTAGAAAGATCATGTCTGTTCGTGGCAACTCTAGTCTTCTCTATGCGCCCTTTTTTTGTATGTATAAGCCGACAAAAGAAGTGACGGGATGAATAATTGCAGATTGAAGAGATAGAGACAGATAATCGAGTCAAGTCGTAAGAAAATGCGTGAATCGTTCGTTGTGAATTATAGCGTGTGTTTAAGTTAAACTGATTGTGGAAATTAAGTGTATTGCAAAGTTGTATTCACAAAGAATAAACTAGTTTTATTTAAGAAAGGTATCGCTAAAGTTTCATCCGAAAGAAATTATACCGGAAATTAACAAACGACCAGAGACGTAAGAAATTGGTGTCAGAGAGGGGGAAGGAAAATAAAAATAAAAAAAGAAGAAGAAGATGGAAACGAGAGGTGGTAAATCAAACTACAGCTTAGCGGATTTGACAGCAGCAATACAAGAACAGCAAAAGAAACAAGAATAACGAGAAAAGAAACAAGAGAGACAACAGCAGTTGCAAGCAAACCTGCAACAGTGGCAGCTCGAACAGCAAAATAAACAAAAAGAGAGATTACAGCAGTTGTTGGAGGAAAAAGAAAAG